TTTCCTTTGTTTGAGGGGCAGTGACTGGCGAGATCACCAAATATGATTGTTACCTTGAACTTGATTCCCTGAATGGCTGACACTTCTTTCTTTCTTTTCTTTTTCATGTTATTCTTGATAACTTTCCCTTTTGAATCTCGTAATTGTAGTAGCTGATTGAGTGCTTTTTACATCAGAATACATAAAAAATGCATTCTACAACGACCCAATATGTTGCCTCACGGAGAATGGGCTTGTATGAACCAATGCATCCAATTGGCATGTGGGGAGATTTCAAAGGTAATGGGTGTCCCAATGCATCTGCTTCCACGATTCTACAGGTTGAAACCAATCTAGATAACCAGGTGACTTTTTATCTGTCTTTGCTATTTATTTCTTTGGCTATGCATTGTTTCCCATTTTGTCTGAGTTTTAAAATCAATTGCGCAGTCAGAGGACACTTCACATGGAACATTAGGGACTCCTAGCAAATACGATCAAGAAGCTAGTAAACCTGTTGATAAGGTAAAGATTTTGCAATGTTCTAGCAACCTCATTAGTTCATATTGTCTATCCTGCATCTTAAACGGTTACTATGACTAGTAAGTCTCTACATTCAAAGAATTCCCCCACTTTCCATAGTCTGGCATGTGGAGACATGTTTTGATTGCAAGGATGCTCTGATTTTTGTCCATACTTTATCTTTTTTTTCCCTTCGACAATTTCTTTATAGCAGATAATTTACCATAACAAAAGATGTATATGAAACTCTTAGCGTGATGGATGTGGACTTTTTAACTCTATGAAGTGCCTTATGGACCATCCTAAGATAAATACTGGCATCCTCTAACTGTTTCCCCCTTGACCAACTATATACTCTGCAAACAACATTTTTTCTTAAAGTTCACCTTGGTCAGCAGGCAGATTGGGTGTCCTCTTTCGGGTGGATGTCAATTAGTCTTGGCTTGCTGGTGTACAATTTTGTCTTTCTTCTGTTGACAATAACATTAAATACTTTGAATGAAAGGAAGACATAGACTAATGGGAGAGTGGCAGAAACCATTTTAGCTATTGATGAGGACTTCTAACCATTTTCCGGATGAGAAGGAAATTGCTTTACAATTTTATTGTAGCTTGAATCTCCAAATATATGCTGTGCACGAGTTTCTATTTTTCTTTGCATTCTGAGCCACAGTGTATTCAATGAGTTTGAATTTTCTGAACTGTATGAAACATTGGTAATGGAGCTTGAGTTGGTCTCGCAGGTACTGAGACGTCTTGCCCAAAATCGTGAGGCTGCTCGTAAAAGCCGTTTACGCAAGAAGGTAAATTGCCAGGAATACTATTATAGGTGCCATGTAATCATTGTTATATTGATTGGGTTATATAATATCTACCAAAAGAAAAACATTGTTGTCACTAAATATCTTGCGTAATATCCAAACCACCATGTACTTAGTGATCTGCAATAATTTTTGCAGGCATATGTTCAACAGTTAGAAAACAGTAGACTTAGACTGGTGCAGTTAGAACAAGAACTTGATCGAGCTAGACAACAGGTAGAAAGAAATCTTCATCTTTTTGTGTCCTTTAGTTTTTCTTTAAAATTGCTTCTATGATATAGCACAATAAGTTTTCTAATCCTCTGAAGAATTTGGTTCAGGGTTTGTATGCAGCTGGTGGATTAGATATTAGTCAGTTAACTTGCTCTGGAGCTTTAAACTCAGGTTTGTGGGTCTATTCTTAGAAACTATCTTGCTAAATTGTTAGTATCAACCAGGTGGTATTACATGTGTTACTGACATTCCACGTGAATTCATACTTGATGGATTCTGAGTTATGCTTGATAAGCAGAAATTGTTAATAGCTTCCTTGTTTGGTACTTTGTAATTGTAATTTAGCTTTGTTCTGATTTTGTTTTCCTATTAACATTCACTTTTTCAACCAAGCAAGATTCATATTTCACATTCCTTGTAGTCATCTTGTTTAAGGGAGTGGATGATAACTTAAACGGTGGTTTATGTCGAGTATTGCTTGAACTACCTTTTGTAATACTCATTTCATGCTAATTACTTCAAATTGTAATGGTTAATTATCCCCCTGATATTTAACTTATTTTACCTTTCCCTGTCAGTTATAAGTATCTACTTTGGAGATGAACCATGATCAAATTGAGAACACAAGTGTAACTTATGCAGTTCTGAGAAAAGTACCCCTAAATTTTCTATATGGCAAGGATTCTTGATTAATAAAAGAACTTTTGGTGATAATTTTCGCAAAATGTGATCCAATAGAATTAAGGGACATGGCAAAGTTTAAGGACTGAAGTTGTGAGTAAACACTATGTGTCATTTTAAATAGACTAACATTTCACAGAAGAATTTTAAGAGTCATACCAGAAAATCCTAATGATATCAAACCTGAGTTTACACTTTCCAGTTCTCCAGGCATTGCTTAATTTGACATGTAAATTGAAGGTCTCATTTTGTGAATGGGCATTGGGTAAAATTAGAAGATTTTAATTTGTACTTGACCTCTGATTGAAACTAATTATTTCAATGAGTGAAGAGCTTGAGAGAATGCCTAACACATGATATAGCTTGCAGCTTATTTCATTCTTTAAGAAACTTTTACTGTTTCATTTGGTTTTTAGGACAATATTCACCCTTTCCAATGACAAACTCCCTTTGCTCTCTGGTTGTACACTTGGGTCAAGTTTACTTTCCTTAAGTGAGCCTCCATGTTATACCTGCAGGAAGTGCTGCATTTGAAGTGGAGTACGGACGCTGGGTGGAAGAACAAAATAGACAAGTTAATGAACTAAGGAATGCTTTGCATTCTCACATCAGTGAAGAAGAGCTACGTCTACTAGTTGATGGTGGCATTAACCATTATTTTGACCTCTTTCGTATGAAGGAAACAGCTGCCAAAGCTGATGTCTTTTATCTCATGTCCGGAATGTGGAAGACATCTGTTGAACGGCTATTCTTGTGGATTGGGGGGTTCCGCCCTTCGGATCTTCTAAAGGTAATTATAAAACTCCAACTCAGTTGTCATGTAATATCCTCATTCTTCTTTGATTAAGATCAGGTAGATATCAGTGGATTCCAAATTTGAGTTGGGAAACTCAGGGTTGATGCATTAGCTCAGAAAGTAACTCACCAGAGTCCTAATAACATGTCTTGTTTAAGTATAAACGAGCAACTAAATCACGCAAAAACTCATCTTTGTTCCGCTACAAAATGATGAATTTTCTTTGAAATTATTGTGTTTCTATGGAGGTCTCTTTCACATTCTTAGCATGATTTTTTTTTTTTGGGAGCAAATTTAGTATGATTCTAGGCCCTATATGATTCTTATTTTTCTTTATCTCTTGCATGGTTAAATATGTGATGCATATTATCAATCTTTCTTTAAGTACAGATTCTCTCGCAACACATCCAGCCTTTGTCAGATGAGCAAGTCTTGAATGTGTACCACCTTACACATGCATGTCAGCAAGCAGAGGATGCTTTATCACAGGGAATGGATAAACTGCATCAATTTCTGGCGGAGTCAGTTTGCCGTGCTCAGCTCAGGGAAGTTAGTTACCCACAGATGGAAGCTGCAATAGAGAACTTGGAAGCTCTAGAGAGATTTGTGAAGCAGGTAATTGATGGAATCTGAGTTCATCTTTCTGATGTTTTATAACTATAAAGTACTCTAGGCACCAGTTCCCATCCCTTGTAACAAACCGTTAATAGTGATTCTTTTATACTCTGAGCTTGAATTTCTGCTCCTTAAGCCATTGACTTCTTACTGCGTGAGATGCTGGCTCCTGACTGGAGAAATTATGGATGGAAATTAACTCCTGTACTCCTTTTATCTTTGCTTTAAACTCCCTTGATTACTTGGGAAAAGAAGAAACAAAAGGAAAAATTTTCACTTCTAGTTGTCAAATTCTTGTCCTTTATGCTATGTTGTATTATGTTTGAGTTTATTTGCTGCTCTAGAGGAATTCAAACACTCTGGTACTTGTGACTTTTGAAAACATATTTTCCCTTTTGATAGACACCGTGCTTGATTTTGTCTCTAAACAGGCTGATCATCTTCGCCAAGCAACATTGCAGCAGATGTCTGGTATCTTAACCATCCGGCAATCGGCTCGAGGCCTTCTTGCCATGGGGGACTACTTTGAGCGTCTTCGAACTTTGAGCTCCTTGTGGACTAAGCGTAACAGTGAGCCTGCGTGATGGGGAGAGGAAGATTTAGATGATCGTTTGGAGGATTTGCGAGTCTCAAGTTCGTTTGTTTGCGCTTCACTGAACTACACCTATCAAACGTGCTCTCAGCTGCTGCCATTTTTCGAACAGCTTCCTATCGTCAAGAAGTTGTACATATATATCTGTTTTAATCAGGAGGAGTTTACACTTCATTTCTGTTTTGATGTACATTTGATTATATGTCTTTAGAGAGTATCAACTAATATATTTTGGGCCTTTCTGAAGTTTCTAGTCAGATCATCCTGTATTATAATTGAATTCAGTGGTAAAGAATATTCCAAGTTCTCCCAACTTTTGACTTCTCTTAGTGCCGATGTGTTCCATAGTGGGATTCAACTCTGATTCCTGTGGGGTTTTGCTGGGCAATGGGAAGTGCTTTCGCTTTCCCACAACACCTTGAGGAGATAGGATGCGTTCTATTTCTGACAAGACATTCCCTGTTCTAAAACAGTTTCTGTTTTCGGCAAGTCCAATAACAGTGCCTGCACCATCATCGGTGGAAAACCATCACGTGTCTAATCCAGAAAGGTGTTCTATATATTGTCTACCTTTCGAAAAACAACTCCAACCAGCCAACACATGCAGAAAAAAGGGTTGACATGTTGATTGGTATCATTTTAGAAGCAAGTAGGATGGCAAACAATTAAAGTATCTGTACGACGGATGGATTCCTCAGCATTTCAACATGCATATTGTTGTGTTCTTTCAATTGTCCAGTACCCATTCAGGGACAGCTTGACATGTTACAGCATTTAAAGACAATTGCTACAACCTGATATGTACATCTCACGTAGTCATGCCAATTATAGCAAACAATAAAACAATGGCATGTGCAAATTCAGTGAGTACCTTCCTCGACATTAAATTTCCAAGCACAAACCTAACAGGTGTTTTTTCAATGTTGTCTTCAATTTTTACATTCTAGTTTTCTAGTAATTCCCAATTGAAGGAAATACAACGGGGCTCAGATTGTAAACTTGGAGTTCTCTGCATATCAATTAGTTCTTCCTCCTCAGAAGTGAACTCCACCAGGTATCAATTCACTGTCAAAACAACTGTCCTCTGAGTTAAAACAAGCTCAGCATATGGTGCCTAATCTCAGTTTGCACCAACTACTTTGTAGATTCAGAGTCAGCAGCACTTAATCAAATAGTACTTTTTTGCCAGCCAGTTTGTCTCATATCGCACTCCAGAGTCAAACACTAGGCTTTGAGTTGTAGTTTTACGTAAAGATAGATTGTTGATGTCATTAGTGCATTATTAATGGATCTTCTGGCTTCTTCTTTTACATATCTTGAATGAATGAAAGTTATCCTTCAATAATAGAACCTGTAGTACGTAAAAGATTAGTTGTTGTTACATGTTGTTTCAATTAGTAGCAATGCCATGTAATTTTCATGGACAAAGGCTACTATTTGCTCAATATGCATTATCTGAGACACTTGATGTGTGTATTAACATTTGTTCCCAGGTTAGTTAAACTGTGTCTTTTACCTTTAACATTTCAGATGGGGGTCTGAATGATCAAACTCAAATTATTCTCCAGTCATAGCCTGTCATGCAGGGGCAGTTTACCCCTTATACCTGAAAAGGAGGAATAAGATCCATTTACATACATGGGAAATGTTTAATAGGACCGCGTTAACCTGATCACAGCATTAACCTGGGGCAGTTTGCCCCTTTTACCTGAAAAGAAAGAATAAGATCCAACTTCCTCTGTTGTTAGATGCCTTGAGGACAGCATTACCCTGCGTGATTAGATTTGTTATGACACTTGTAGAGTTAAATAGTACATAGTAGCAGAATTAACATGAATTTTTTTTTCCTCTTTCGGTTTCTATAAGCTTTCTATTAATTAAGTTGAAAGGAAACTCAAATCATCAAATTTTAAAACTCAAGCATTCCAAAATGACATTTTGTCTTGTTACATCCTATAATTCAAAAAGAGTGGAGAAGAATCACAAACAACTTGCAGGTTGCAGTATAAAAAACAGTTTGCATCATATGATCAAATCCAAATTGATTTAGATCAATATGATATACTATCAAGTCTATCACAGTTTACAATACTGAAAGATTCTTCAAGAATTGTGCTTTACAGTAAAATGGCTTACCAAATACTTTTAACAGTACCACCATTCAACTACTAAGCCACCTGCTCTCGGGAAATAAAGTATTTGAAGGCTTTGTAGTCTGCCAATTCAAGCACCATAACTGGGCTAACTCCAAGTTCCTCATAAACTCATCTTACCAAACTACAGCATCAAGTAATGGGACAATCAACTAAAGGTTATATTGATACCCAGAAAAGGTACTTATTACTATACTTCAATTGCACTATATTGACCATGTTTTGCTTATTTGCTGGAACTTATTAAGTACTCATGGTAGTACTGAAATACAATTGCGCAATATTTCTGCTGATTATCTTTGTAGCTCTTCCTTTCGATCCTGGTATATTATGATAAAAACATATTTCTTTGATCTCTCAAATCCATTCACTTCATGGTTACTTCTGAACAAAATGTATGAAAGTGACAAGATTTGAAATTATGGGCACCTGTAGAATCTGTGCCCAATATAGATGCGCACTTTTTTTTTTTTGGTTGTTGGGGGGGGGGGGAGTGGATCTTGTTCTTTTTGCTAGGTATGCAGTTGTGACGGGGGCAAACAGAGGGATTGGAATTGCAATCTGTAATGGATTAGCTTTCCATGGAATCACAGTGGTGTTGACTGCAAGAGATGAGAAGAGGGACTCGATGCTCTTCACCAGCACAAAGGGACAGGTGGGCTTACTGCTCTCTTTTATAAGCTTGATGTGACAGATTCATCTGATGTTGCTTACCCAGTTTGGAAGGCTTGACGTCTTGGTACATGATAAATCCAGTGAAATTTTGGTTAATTAAAATTTTTTCTTCAAGATCCTAATGGAATTCACCCCTTATTATTATTTTTTTGGGTTTAAGGTGAATAATGCTGCGGTTCTTGGAAACATTCATGATCATGATGTTCGAAGAGCAGCATTAGTGAGTATTTATGTTGCCTGTAAGTCGCACCTTAAAAACACAGTTTAGACTGGCTATTAAATGATGCAGAAGTGTGATACGCGTCCTCTCATTGGACATCATACAGGACATGTACGTGTATCATAGAGTGTAACACTAAAAATCGTCAAAGTATCAAAATCTATAGATTGCGATATTCCTCACCTTTTCTTCAACCTTGTGGATTTTCGAACTCTATTACTAGTTTTCCTTGCTAACTTCTGTTTAATTTGTTTTGAACAGCACAGGAAACTGGAGCTCGAATTGACTGGAAAGCTGTATGCAATGAGACATATGAAATGTCAGTGGAATGCTTGGAAACAAATTGGTCCAAAAAGAATGGTTGAAGCATTCTTGCCTCTTCTCCAATCATCTCAATCCCCAAGCATTGTCAATGCTTCTTCTCTCGTAGGCAAGCTAGAGGTATTGAACTCGAACATGCAATGTGCTTCTTTAACTATATGATTTCTTTTTTGGGTGTTTTTGTCCATAGTTGCAACGTGCAACTACTTCCTCACCATTGATTTATTTGGATGAGGTGCTGAATGAATATCTAAAAGACTTCATGAAAGCAGGTGCCCCATGGGGCCAAAGGCTGGCCTTTAGCATATGCAATCTCAAAAGCGAGTCTGAATGCTTATACAAGAATTCTTGCCAAGAAGTTGCCTAGTTTCAAAGTGATTTGTGTTTATCCCGGTTATGTGAAAACTGACATGGGCCACAATATTGGTTTATTGACGCCAGAAGAAGGTGCTGAAAGTCCCGTGAGGCTAGCTTTGTTGCCTGATGATGGTCCATCTGGCTTGTTCTTTAGTCAAAAAGAAGTATCATCTTTTGAATGAGAAAACCATCTTTAACAACATTCAGTGTAGCCTAGAAAATGTTGCCCCCTATCACCGTTTCTGCTTTTCTTTGTGTGTATTGCAGTGCCATTTTCAAGACTATGCTGTACTGCTCAGCAATCAACGAACATTTTTGACCATCTACTGGTTGTTACGTATAAACATCTACTGGCTTGGTTTCTGCAACACTAATTCATCGATCCATTGGGACGTTAAGAGGCACTGAACTAGGCAATCTGCTTCTTCAAGAATATGGATTTTCAAATTCTTCATCATGCATAGGATGTCATTTTAACTTAACAGAGATGAACTCACGATAGCATCACAGTCTAAACCTTGCTCAACTATATCAAGATGGCTTGGCCTAAATCAGGGTGGCGAAATTGTTCAAGTTTGGATCTTGGCCTAGGCTTGGAAAAACATCACTGCTGCTTTCACATGACCACTTGATTTAAGATATAAGCAGCAGGTTATTTATCACCTAGCTTCTGAGGATTGTGGAACCAAACGGAATCAACAAGCAAGGGGATGATTAATTTGAAAAAATGTCTTCTTTCTTTCATGTTGTAAAATCATGTGGTATTAATTTTTCTTGTTTCAATAGTAAATCAAGAAAATTGCTTTAGTATGGCATTTTCTTTTTGGTCAATGACAGTTACATGTATAATTGTCAGATTAATTTGTAACGATCATATTACTACAAATATAGCTGCTACAACTGGTACAAAGTTACACACTTTATACTAAAACATAATAGTAATTTTTTTTTTTGTAAATTGTAACTTAGGTGGTTAAAATAGAATTTGTAAACGAAATAGGAATTTAAATACTATAATTCTCTCATTTAAAATATATCTATCTTATTTTTAAAAAGAATTGTAACAACCCAAAATAAATTCCTTGGAAGTTGTAATTCATTGAGAATTTCGTCAATTCTAATTATTTTGATAAAGTAGTCAACTAAAATTAATTCAGATTTTGCTTATTAAATATTTAACAGTACGACCGACCTCTCTACCACCAATCGAAATAATCTCAGGAGATGGAGTATTTAAATGCTTTGTCGCTTGGCAATTGAAGAACCAAATCTGGGCTAACTCCAGATTCCACAGAAACCAATCTTACAATACTTGCTACAGCATCAACCAATGGAAGAAGCTACCAATGGTAATAGTCTTGCCCAGAAAAGGTACTTAAAAACATCTTCTTGAATTCCTCTCAAAGTATGTAAAAACTAGAAAGTTAACATTGTACTTGCACATGAGAAAGGAAATCATCGTGCATGTTATTGAAAATTAGTTAGCTTTTAGATTTTAATTTTAACAACGTCTTATTTCACAAGTTGTTCTATCAACTTCTTTGATTTGCAATTTGAATTCTAGTTTGATAGGATTTCATCCTGCAATTTGATTTTTAGTTTGATGGCTTTTATCTTTTGTAATCGTTATCTTTGTAAGTCATATTCTATATAAACTCTCACCATGCATTATCAATGACATTGAAACAACACCGTGAATAACAACATCATTTTCTAAAATTTATCACACATTAAATAGTGAAATACAAGTGCATGATATTTCTATGGACTATAAATTATAGCTCTTCCCTTTGATCCAAGTAAAATGTGATCATGGAGTTATTTTGTGTAGGTATGCAGTTGTGACTGGGGCAAACAAAGGGATTGGACTTGGGATTTGTAAGCAATTAGCTTCTCATGGAATAACAGTGGTGTTGACTGCAAGAGATGAGAATAGGGGACTTGATGCTCTTCACCAGCTCAAAGAAACTGGTGGGCTTTCTGGTGATCTACTCTTTCATAAGCTTGATGTAACAGATTCATCTAGTGTTGATTCCCTTGCTGAATTCATCAAGACTCAGTTTGGAAGGCTTGATATCTTGGTATGACAAAAATAAATTTTGCTGCTCTATCTATCGAAATTTTCTTTAAGATCATTCATTTAATTTTGGGATGTCATGTCACATATTGATGAAAAGTGATCATTGATTTAAGATCCGGTGGACAATGCGGGGATTGCTGGAGCCATTGAAGATGTTGATGCCCTACGAGCTGCATTGGTATGTTTTTGCATTCATTTTATTAGTTGTGATATGCTTCACCTTCTATACAATCGTTGTTAATAATATATCTAATTGTTACTGAACAATGCAGGAAGCTGGAGGTCTAACTGACTTTAAAGCCTTCTGCACTGAGACATATGATTTGTCAGTGGCATGCTTGGAAACAAACTACTATGGTCCAAAAAGAATGGTTGAAGCATTTTTGCCTCTTCTCCAATCATCTCAATCACCAAGAATTGTCAATGTTTCTTCTATTTTGGGCAAATTACAGGTACTGAAACTTGATCCAATCTGCCCCTTTTTTTTTGGTGGTTCTATCCATAATTGCAATTTAATTTCTTCCTTACCCTCACATTTTTTTTTTCCAGTTTACACCAAATGCATGGGCTAAAGGAATACTAAGTGATGCTGATAACCTTACAGAAGAGAGAGTGGATGAGGTGCTGAATGAGTATCTTAAAGACTTCAAAGCTGGTACCCATGATGCTAAAGGCTGGCCTATGGCATATACCATCTCCAAAGCTAGTCTGAATGCTTATACAAGAATTCTTGCTAAGAAGTGGCCTAGTGTCAAAGTGAATTGCGTTTGTCCTGGTCATGTGAAAACTGACTTAGGCCATGACTTCGGAGCACTGACTGTAGAAGAAGGCGCTGAAAGTCCCGTGAGGCTGGCTTTGTTGCCTGATGATGGTCCTTCTGGCTTGTTCTTTAGTCGAAAGGAAGCAATATCTTATGAATGAAATGCTGTAATCTTTAATAAATATAACAGTATCTGTATTGTAAGAGAATGTTGCAGCAACTGAGTTTGTGTTGGTTATTTGTGTATTGGTGCCATTTGATCTTCATTTAAGAATAAAGAAAATGAAAAGGAAGTAGTGCCGCTCTTGGAGTATCCCCTATTCAACCAATCACTTAGAAAGTTGTGGAAAGTCCAATTATTTTCTTTGTGTGGATCTGAAACTGTGAAGAAAGCTAAGATAAGCCTGAAATATATGCCAAGAACCATAGGAGATGAATGAAGAATCATTCTGAGGAGAAAAACAAGTCTGATGAGATGCTTGTAATGGAATGGCTAAGGGTCACGAAAGAAAGTCGAAAGGATGAAACTACAGCCTTTGGATTCCAGCCCAATAGCCACCAAGAAAAGGGATTCTGGGTCTCAAGTTCCCTGCCTGCATGTTAGGGTGCCTTAGTGCACCATTTGCCAGTTTCTTAGCTTCACTTCCTGAGGGTGCTTTAAGTACGCCCGTCTGGTTCATCCTACATCCCCTTTCCCTAATATAGGAATAGGGTCGTTTGATAATTTTTGATACGACCTGAAAGTACGACACGAACCTAGTACCAAATTAATGAATTGGATTGAGATTTTACGGGTTCGGATCAGAATCGGGCAGAATCCGATGAACCCAAACAAAACAGGTCGAATTCAGGTCACCCACGACTTGACTCGATTACCCGTTAATAAATTAAAAATAATTTAATAAATATAAAAATATTTTATTTAACTAAACTAAAGTTATTCTTTTTTCCCAAAGGCATTTACTACTTAATCCTAAATGAATTTGTTTAACTTGTGTGAAATTGGAATTATTATGTTTGGACAAATGATATATTAGATTATTTTCTATTTCTATGGTATCTTAATTTATTTTACATATGGTTTGAGATAAAATACTTTTACAGTGTTTTAATTTATTTCAGGTATGGTTTGAGATTGTTTTATCGAGATTTTTATTACTTGATTATGTAATTAGCCTTGTACGAAATTAGTTCTGTTAAAAACTACAGTGATAAATTAATAAATTGAAATTATGTTTCATGTCATTTGGGGTTGATCCGCCAACCCGAAATTTCTGATCCAACCTGTTTCTGAGTTGACAGATTGTGTTCGAATCAACAGGTTATCTATTATATCTCTGAATCTCAATCCAATCCGCGAATTCGAATCTGATCTGATCCGATTGCCAGACCAGACGTAATTGTTGCATTCAAAAAACAAAAAAAAAAATGAAACCACAAGATCCCTTCTTCAAAGGTTTGACATATATTACTAGGTCCGAGGGTCAATCCTTCTCCTAGGTTCTCTCAAAACAGCACGAGGAGCAGAGCTGTAAAGGCTCCCCGCAGCACTCTCTGCTGCGGCGTGACTATTTAGGTGCATGTGACTATTTAGCTATTCTCGAGGCCTAATGTATAAGACCACATGGGCTGCTATATTTAGATATTCCATTATGATTACGTTTGAAGCTCTTCCACCTTTTGCTTTTCATTCCTTTTTTTCCCCCCTTTTGTGGATAAGAAAGATTGTCCAACCATATTGACCTAAAACTCTAATCTAGTCGGCAATCACCAAATACAAAGCTCGCTCAATGTATACTCGAACACTTTTCTTCTTTTTCCCATTTAAAGTGTATAGCATAGTTTTTATAGTACAATCCAACCATAATCATTGGCAATTGCTGATAGCAATGCTGTTTTCTTACATTGACATGTTCTGTCCACTTCAAGGAGCAGAAGCAACTACAACATTTTGAAGATCTTTGCACAGTCCTATAGTTCTCTCCTTTGTGGGCTGGTACAACATCAAATTTTCTCAGGGATGAATCATCATAACTTAGACATGGCATAATCCAATGCATCAACCAGGAAATCTGCAGAAAAAGAAAATTCAAAGGCTCAGATGTAGAGGGGGCAAAAAACTCATTAAGAAGTCTGGTTTAATGTCAGTTTACCTCATCTAGGAGGAATTTACTCAACGGAACTCAAATGGCAAAGCATGAAATTACCTGCATCATCTTTGTTGAAGCACATAGGAGGCTTTATTCTAAAAACATTCCCATGCAGTCCACCTTTTCCAACTAAGACGCCAAGTTCTATGTTCAAATATGAGAATTACATTAAAACTTTAACTCGCTACCATAGAAGCATATAGACTATAATGTATAGATGAAGATTCTCATGATTTCCTGAATATTTTTTGGTTGGTCTTACTAACCTCGGAGCTTCTCAAACAGAATTGCAGTTTCTGCCTTCGCAGGTGTCTTCTTAGTTCTATCACTGACCAGTTCTATACCCACCATCAAGCCTCTACCTCGCACATCTCCAATTACTGAGACATAGGAAAACATTAGTTAGCATTCACAATTTTATTCCTACATGTCTGGAAATGCAACAGAGTATATAGGGATGCAGTGATATCAATTTGGCATGCTGCGATTGATGAGCTGTGCAGCTGCTCACGTGGCAGTGGCTAACTTCTCTAGACCGCTAATACTAGATTTTGAATAACCCAAGCAAGCAATCGAATCATTGAAAAGTAAATATTTTTTGTTCAAGAGATGTTGCTTACATACAGCTATCCAGGTCATGCAAATGAGAATATTACTAAAAATTATCTGTGACTTGTAAACTTCATTGACAATTAGATTGACTAGGTTCACTAGAGGTAAGAAATTTGCATAGGAGTGCTATTACTGGGTTAGTACTAGTATACCAGTAAGTAACCAGAAAACATAACATTGTACATTATACGTAGAGATCAACATTC